TCCACTATTTATATTAAAAGAAGAGAAAGAAAGAAATCCGAAAATTAAGCTCGAAAAAGACCCACAGCAAGGCTTCTCCGAGGCATCTCCAGAAAGTTGCACCAGCTAGGAAGAATAGAGGGCCACGCCCGCGGCGACTGCGCAGCCTGGCAGTGTCTTGCAGATTCAAACGGTAATAAATTCCATTCTATGATGCCCCTTGGGGTGTGCGACCTACCGTTGGAGAGCTCTTCAAGTCTAGTTTCCAACGCAATTTGAACCGCCTCAATCCAATGTGTAGATAAAAAGTTATGGTTGAAAGAGTGAACAAGACTCAGTTTAAGGCCTTATACGACCTTCAAGCTTTCTTGCCTCAAGCTTCTTAGCTTCTTTCTTAGCTTCAAGCTTCTTCTATTGAAATTTCTTGCCTTTTCTCGGGTCATAAGCATCGAAGAAAGCGTCAAGCACCTACACAAATAGACCAAGAGAGAAAAGAGTGAAATAACTCATAAAAAAACACGCAAATCAAGCTAGCAACCGAGCAAAAACCATATTATTCACAACTTAGGCCTAAAACCATAAACTAAGACAAAGATAACTAAAACAAGACTAAAAGGAATAGAAGTAACAAAGAAACACCGAAATAAACCTAAAACTAAGGGACAAAAACGCCCTAAAATGTGTTATAAATGATACTTATCAGTGAGGGTGTGAGCCGTCAGAGGTTTCGCACTTGCGGAGCTTGAAGCTTTCAAGTCCGAGCTCATTGAGTGAGCGAAGCACGCGTCTAGGGTGTGTTTCTTTCTCTCTCTTCTCTTTGTGTGTTTGTGTTTTGTTTATTTATATGCTTTTGTTTATGTTGTAATTATTATGCATGCGATCCGGTTATCTGGTTTTATTTCCTCGCAGTGTCGGATACTGCAAAACCCAACAGTACCATGTTTTTAGTGCAATTCATCAGAGGAAAGCTTCTCCAAAACTTCTAAACTATGCACAAGAATTATTGTGAAAGACTAATAGGTATTTCAGTGTACCTTTTCTTTTTTTCTTTGTCGGTGCTTTACCTGTGTGTCGATTTTCATAATATTGCTTGTCTACTTGTTCATTTTCCGATTGTAATGTTATGTTCTGATCTGATTGTAGGTTTTTTACTTGTTTATATCTTGATTATCGTCTTTCTTATTTTTGGTTTTATTCTAACTATTTTTTCCTTTAATTTGTTTATTATACTCGTTTATAATGGATGTGGTTACTAGCTAGTACTATGTTGCTCTCATTTAAAGTTTTATTACTAGTGTAAGTTTGCAATTTTCAGTTTAGTGGTGTAGTTCTAACTATTTTCATGTTTGTTGTACTGACTGTTAGCTTTATTATGTATGAATGCTGCAATACTTGCCAGTCTAGTTTATTGATATTTGTGTAAGCACATTGGAATATGTCGCTAGCTGAAAAGATGTTTCTAGTCAAAACCTGATATTACTTGGTATTATATAAGTTCGTTGACAGCTAGTATAGAATTTGTACATGCTGCATTGCATGCAAGGCTGTCACAGATTATGTCCATTTTATTTGATGATCCTTATTTTGTTTATACTTTCTACCATGCTACATTGTGCGTATTGATACATGAAATGATTTGTAAGTTGAATGTGTTCTCGTGTCTTCTAATCACCATTTTCCTAATGAAAGAGAAGGGTTTGATGCTCATGAATTTTTTTTGCACTCTTGGTTAATATGCTTAGTTATGCTTTCCTTATTTACTTTTTCTTTTGAAAAATTAGTGTTCAATCCTGACAAGAAGAGAGATATGCACCCTTACAGTTCATACAATGTTGATGCTCTACAATGCTACTGCTGCCCTACAATGTAACTGCTACGTTACAATGCTGGGTTATGCTGCCACCATAATTTAATTTTTTTTTTAATTATTTTTTTTAGTATGATTGTGTATCATTTCATTACCTTTTTTTTAAAAAAGATTGTATCATTTCATTACTTTTATTAATGGAAAATTCTGACTTTTATATATGCAAGTCTTTGTATACCAATTTAAGTGAAAAAAAAAAGAAGAAATTTTTTTTTATTTTCATAAGGCATTAAGGGCAGCGGTTCAGTGGGCCAAACCGCTGCCCATTACATACGTTAATAACCCTTCAAACCCCAAATGGGAAACGGTTATGAGCCAAAAGCGCTTCCCATTATCTTCAAATGGGAAGCGGTTTGAACCACTTCCCATTTAAAGGGGCAATGGGATGCCCCCAAAGCCCAAGCGGTTGAAATCCGCTTCCCATTATGGGTTTTGAACGGCTTCCCATTTGTGTTTTTCTACTAACGGAAGGACTTGCACATGGTGGGCTCAATGAGATCCCACGGAATTGATAACTGCCACATTTTTTGCTTGTACTGGGCCACATGGTCTTGAGGATCGGTGGTCCCGTCGTACAGCTTGGGGAATGCTAGAATGTTCAGCTTTGTGGGAATCCGGACTCACGCAATGTTCTCCACGAAGGGAGACTCAGCAAATCCATTAGGAGATTCATAGGCCATTAGTTTCGATGTGCCTGTAAGCCGGGTCAAGAGCTTCATCATTTTTCGGTTATGTGCCTCGATGATAGCCACCTTTTTGCCATAGGATCAGTGTCTCCTCCATCAAACTCCTTCTCAGATTTCTTATACTTATCCTACATTCCAACAGATTCGTCAGATGAGATAAGGGAGAATTGGGGAATATCTTCAGCTTTGAACCTTCTTTTCTTGTTGCTCTTAACAGATTCAATTTCCTCGTTCAACTTTTCCAAAGTCTCCTAGTGGGTCTAGGATTCACTTTGGATCTTCTCTGGTTTCTTGTAATTGCTCGAGGATTTCGGCCATGGTAGGTTCTTGGGGTGAACCAGTCATTGCGAAACGGAAATAAGAATGATAAATCGAATGAAATGAGTAGGGTAATCTAACTGTGTCCCACATATGGCGTCAAACTGTTTAGGTTAAATTCTGATTGCCAGATAAAATTAGGTTTAATTGGACTAATGAAAATATGCAAATGATGATGTAGGTTCAAGGAATGAGGATGAATGATTTAAAAAAAATGAACAAAGAGGAAAAGGAGAAAAAGAGATGATATGGTGACGTAGAAAACCCCAAGAATAAGGGTAAAAACTGCGGGTGGCTATGAGTCTACCAATCAACTAGTTTAAGAATTGAGTACAAGTAAAATATAAGTTTAGAATAGATCAGTAACGTCATTGGTGATTGTTGATTGCTAATTGCTATGAAATGTAAAGCTTAAAGATTGTCTATCCCTCTATACATGGCTTCCTCCTATATTTATAATCCAAAGATTCCTTGAAGCTTTGCAACGGCTCCTTTTTTGGTTCCTTGAAAATCGGGGCCGAGTTAATAGCTAGATTCTTTTCCGAGAAATATGCCACTTCTCCATACCTTATCTATTGCGGTTTGACTCATTCCCTCTGCTACCAGTAATGGCTTACTGGTCCCGATTCTTTTGGCACTCCATTTGACTTATTCAAACTTGGATCTTCTTAAAATATTCCTTGGAAAGACCTTTATTTAGCTTCCTTTGACTTCTTGAAACAAGGTTGACTTTGTGGCAACTTGTAACCTGCAACCTGCAAATATATGAACTTGTAGTAGTAATTTAGGCACAACTATTACTAGTCGTATTTACTAATTACTCAATCCATTTCACAATGATATTTCTATTTTCGTATATCGACGCAAATCTTTAATTGCAAATATCTTTAATTTTACATTAGCAACTATTATCAAAATTGAATATTTATAATTTACTCACCAACATGAATAAAACTAAACACATGATTATGTTTTTTCTTATACATAGAATTTTTTTTTAAAAAAAATTCCCTCTCATTTTAATATTCACTAGGTTCCAAATGGAAAATTAATTTTGAAACGAAGAGAGTTTTTTATTAATTTCATACTTTCTCCCGTTTTTTTTTTAATTGCAACATTTAGGGGGCACGGGATTATTTTTTTAAAAAAAAGTGTAAAATATGGCATATGTCAAAATTGCCCATTTGGAAAAAAAATAAATAAATGAGAGATAGAAAAAGTTGGGGTAATAATGGTTGCTTTCACATGTGAACAAGGATAGGTAGTGAATTTTGTATGTGAACACAACCAAAAGGTGAAAAAAGCATATCATATAGGGAAATGGTGCAATTAATATGCAACTTCCCAAAAAGGAAGGTGCAATTAAAAAAAATGGAGGAAGTATTACTTTGATGAAATCAATTTAATTTAGATTAGATTTGACAAAGCTGACACGACGTGACAAGTCGATAACATGACACAAACTAGACACAAAAACAATCAGTTAACATCAAAGGTTTTCATCACGTTTACTTAAATAGGCCGAGTTAATGTTGAGATTTCTAACATGAAATTCACACGCCAACCCACAGATTGAAACAACTAATAAATATGGAATTGTTGGTATATATATTGAACGAGACTAATACCTTTCATATAACACGACAACATGATATAAATTGGACGCAGAAAAGGCAAGTTAGTATCAAGGGTTTCTATAATGTTTAATTTAAAATGTTTATAAAGTAGGTAGGGTTAGTATTGAGTCCCCCCAACCCGTTTAATTTCAAACACGTACACGACACAATTGCTAATTCTATTTTAGATCATCTCACTTTGGTTTAATTCAATCCAAAATAACATAGTTTCAAATTGGTAATGATGACTTTTTAACATTAATTTTCATCTTTTCTTGTAATGTACCATTTAAACATTGTGCAATTAATTTGAAACTGAATTAGTATGAGAAATGTACTAATTTCCCTGAAAAAAAGAAAAAAAAAAAAAAAAAAAAAAAAAAAAAAAAAAAAAAAGCACTAATTTCTGCTGCCAAAAAGACTGGAAATTTTGAAAAAAAAAAATGGCAGAAGCTACATGGAACAACTCATAGGTAATCTCACCTGCGCCAGAAAAAAATCGGCATAATGTATTGTAACTTTGTTATATTGTCTAAATATGATTTTTTTTTCTTTTTTTTTTTTTTTTTTTTTTTTGGGTTAATACCAGGTATCCATTGATATCTTATACGAGAGAGATTAACGTATATTATGTACATTTTAACTACTAACTTGGGAGATCTGAGACATTCGGCAACCCACTCCAACTATCGAATACAAGCAGTCAGAACTCAGAACACGGTGAGGAAAATTAAAATATATCTAACCAAAAGATCTTGATGAGTGATGTATTGGATATACGTTCTCTACAACATTAGTCTACTCGACAACCTGCATAAAAAGCCCATAGTTATTAATTGGAAGGACTGAAGGAGTGAAGTACTGAGAGTGAGAAAGACAGGATAGGCAGACGTTTTTTTTAGGGGGGGGGGGGGGGGGGGGGAGGGGGGTGGGTTTCGTGTGGCAGTAGAGGGATGTAGATTAAACCGACATGTTTAGATTCAACGTAGAACAGCACAAGAGGCAATTAAAGCACATGATGGCTAGCATAAGTGAACACAATTAAGAAGGATCATGAAGATATGAACTGGGCAAAACATGTAGAAAAAAGAAGAGAGCCAAGAGGGAAGACTTAGTATGTGATCATTCCATCAAATCTCTCAGAATTTACATGTACAGCAGGAGAAAGCATACTTAAGTGAAATAACTAGGGCAAAGTTCAAATAGAAATCTATTAATTCAGGGTTCAAATATATGCAACAGAAAGCAATTAAAATCAGATAATTCACATATATTTAATGGATCTTTATCGATCATGCCATCTTCAAGACACATTATAGAATTTCGGTCCATAATTTAATGTTTTAGCTACTATTTTTTTATTCCAGAAACATCAGACATCAACAGTTTTAATACTCATCAATTACAATTATTCATACCCTTTCGAAAATATATACAACGGCTTGCACAGGTACATATATGCTGAAACCGCAGAAGTCTTGAGAAGGGTATTTAGAACTCTCTAGATTCATATGTTTTTTTTTTTTTTTTTCCTTTCTGTTTTCAGTAATTTACTCTGTTCATTTTCCCTTGATTTATAGGTAAAGAGAGATTCTAGGAGAATAAAATAGGCAAGCGAGCAAAGTGCAAACTATATCTCTATCTTGACATGAAATAAATTGAAAATAAGTCTTAGATGTATGGTACATCTGGTAGGATGATGAAAATTTCCTTGACTGCAAATGTTCCAGGCAAGTAAAAAAAGTTGGTAGTAAATCTAGCCATAAGCAAAACACCATGACAGAATAAAAAAAAACAGGTAGTGGCTCGAGATATTCAGCTCTGAGCCTCTAACTTCAGCCAGCAAAAAAAAGAAATGACAGAACAAACAGCATATAGCAAATGCAAGCATATACCTACATATACAAAGTAAATGAGCTGTTACACACTAAACTCAGAATTCTATGAGCAAAATTCTATGACACTAAACTCAAAATTCCTGTATATCCAGTACATCATGCAGCTAAACCATGCACCAGCCAACAGTGAACATTTCTAAAACCAAACCCTCATCAACTAAGCCCCAAAAAAACACACGAGCCCTACTGATTAGGGCAAGAAAATATCAGCCATCAAAATCAAAATTAAGACTAAAGTATTGACCAGGAAACTCAATCTTGGGTCTACATTATTTCAGATATCAAGTAAGCACCACCTTGCTATAGACTAGCAATCTGATTTGCATATTTGTAAACACCACCTTGCATTGATACTACTTCTAATCAACAATAACATAGAAGGGAAAAAATTGCTCTGATTGATAACAAACGATTTCAAAAGTTAGCAGCTTTAGGCGGCAAGTCTCCACTAGTGACTTGAGGTCACAACTCTCAAATAGTGACTTACGGTCACAACTCTCTTAAGGATTCACTCCAAAAATCTGCCTACCCTTTCCTTTCCCCACTTCCCCTATTTACAATAAAACTTAAGACTATTAAACTAAAAATACTAGACTACCCACATTAACCCTCCTTAGGTCAGTTTATTACACACCTTTTGCATGGAACTAAATCATTAAATCAAACCTAGATCAAACATAAACTTGTAAAAATGAAACACCGGGTATTTTCTACAACATTTTACAATTTCTGTAACTAATACAAAGTATCCAAGCACCCACATCAATGCCAATACTCAAGTTTCAAATAGACAGCCAAAGTGTCAAACATAAGTCAGTATAACATTTTTTTTCTGATTTGATGTCAGCCAAATAGATGAGATAGTTTGACACCATAATAGCTTGGAGGGGGGATTGGAGAGAGAGTAAATCATTACCTACACAACGAAGACTGGAAGAACATCCAAAACCACTTTCCAGGCGCTCCAAATGGTCAGCTGAGACTACATAGAGTCCAAACTCCTTAGCAACCGAACTCAAAGAATTGCTCAAACCCTCTTGTAATGCAATGCTCCCCCAGAAACCAGTAACTTCCTAAACAAAGCAGACAGTCCAAAACTCCCACTCGGATGTAATATAAACATTTCGAAGAGACAGATACTTCATAGCCATTGCCAGCCTATACATTTGACTACCATGATCACTTTTACTATGCTGTCTTCTCATCTTCCGCTTGATCACCAACCTCAACCTCGACCCCAAAACCGGTCTCATCTGAAACCCGAAAACAATCCTTGGTACCACAACATATTCTTTCCTTTTCTTCCTCTTCTCCTTCTTCAAGCTCAACTTCCTCGCCTTCAATTTACCCGGCTTTCCTTGCCTTTTTTTCTTCTTAACACTCCATTCTTTAATCTTCTCAGACAGTTTCTTCTCAATATTTCTTCGTTTCACCATCAATTTATTACTCCAAATTAACCTCCCCAATGCAACAGTGAAAGACAACAATGTAGGACTATCAGCAGTAATTAACAAAAAATGAAATCTTCGCATTCGTTTTCGACTCAATTTACCATTTCTCTTCCATAATCGACTATTAAGTTCTTGAGAAAGCATAGATTTATAATCTCCATTGTAACCCATAAGCATCATATGCATTGACACTGAGATGAATCAAAAAAAGAATTGACATTAAAACGCAATCAATTTAAAACAAATTTTCCATAAACTCAAGAAAACAACAAAGAATTGAGTACGAAGAAAAAAAAAATAATAAAATAAAAGGCAAATATTAACATTATATACAATCAATTTTAAGCAAAATCTTCACAAATTCAAGAAAAACAACAAAGAATTGAGTATTAAAATCCTTACTTTTTTCTGCAATTTTGGTTCTATCACCAACCATCTGTTTCCGATGCATCTTCCTCATCTTCTTCTCTCACAATCGATCAAAACCCTCAAAAACTGCGGCGTAAAAATGCAAAATTTAAGAAAAAAATCTCGACAATTGAAACACAAAACCCAATTGCGGAGCGAAATAACACTAAATTGTGGGCAAACGAAGCAAGAACAAGTAAAATTGACAAAGAAATAGTGAAAATTTGAATAAAAAGAAAAGGCGGACTTACAGAATTTCAAGGGTTTAATGTTGAAAGAAATTTACACTGTTGAGTTGAGAAGGTAGTTTGCAGGTTTATGTTTTTGCACGAGAATTAATTTCAAGGGAATGAGTACGCGCGCTAGAGTGTTTTTGCCTAATTTTGGCGGACGAATAAGGATATAATATGTGCTTTCTGTTTTTATTTGTAGGTGTTTTTGTCAAACTTCATATTGGTATAAGAGGGCATATCAAAGTGGGCCGGGTGGATACTATGGCCTTAGGCCATTTGACTAAAAAAAGGGCTAGCATGATCCATTTAGCGGGCGAGTTGCGCAGTATCTACAAACCCGGTTCGAAAAAACTCACTATGTTTTAATGGATCGACATGACAAGGCAATTACGATTTGGATTGATCCTGGTCTAACCACATATTTTAGTTCCTATATAAACAACTATATGAAACTCGTACTATGCACGATTTTTTTTATAAAATTTTGTATAATCTTGTATCTTACCCAACCTGTTAAGAACCATTAAAAATCCGTTTTTTGAAAACCGACCCAATCCAATTTCTTCCAACTCAAAATTGAACCGAACCGAATTTATGCAAATTGTTTAGGACCCAACTCATTATCAACTCGAACCATTACAACCCGAAATCGAAAACAACCTGAACCAATTACCTTAGAACCTGAAAGTAACCCGATCCATTTTAAACCAAAATCGTTCAAACCCGGAAAAATTCGGATAAACTTGAACCGTTCCAACCCGTAACCTGTTGTGACCGAATCGTTTTCAACCTATAACCCATTGAAACCGAACCGATTACAACCCGTAATCCATTGAGACCGAACCGTTTACAGCCTATAACCCGTAATTATTGAGTCGTTTACAACCCGTAATCAATATGTTTATGATCCGATTCGTTTCACCTCTCTACATGATAAATTCAACTTATTTAAGACTTAACTCGATTATAACCTGACTCGTTCCTACCAATTATCTGATTAACTCGTCTCGATAATGATCAGACCTGATTTTAACCCGATATGATTTGAACTAAAACCTGCTTCAAAATGGGTAAACCCGTTTTTAAACCGACCTAGTTTAATTTAAATCGATTATGACCTGACCCGACAATGATCTGACTCAATTTCACCCGATAAGTTTTGAACCGAAACCTGTTTTCAGAACAACCTAGTTCAACCCAAACTGATTATGACCCAAAGCGATTGTAACTCGACCCGGTTAGGACCCGAACTGTTTTGATTCGAACCCCACTTTAAACTAACTAAGCCCGTTTTCAAACCGACCCGGTTCAACCCAAACTGATTAAAACCCAACCCGATTTGGACCTGACCCGAATAGAAACCACAATTAAAAAACCAAACCGAATTGACTTGATAATTTTTAAAACCGACCCGCTAATCATTTCAACTCATTATAAATCGACCCGTTATAACCTAATACTAAAAAACCTAATCTGAAACCGAACCTTTTCCTCGAATTGACACCCCTACTTGTATCCCTATAATAAAAAAAACTTAATTCTTTAATTTTTCAATAAATTCCTATTGAAAAAATTAATTTTTATCATGTATGTTATTAAAAAGGGTAATGTTATATATAACTTTTAAGGCTATAAATAAGCATTGAATATCTTTTCTTATTTAGTATTAATTTAAAAATGCATGACAATATCACGCACAAATTAGTGTAATTAATAAATACATTTCATTAATATTTTCTTTATAGACAAAATTGGCTAGAATAACACAAGATATTACTTGGATACATTAAACATTACGAACTTTAAGTAGAACAATAAACAGCACAAACTTTGGGGGTAGGTGCGATAAATGACATAAATGATTTTCGGTGCCGGTGATTCCATCGGATTCTGGCTACTTATATATATATATATATATATATATATATATATATATATATATATATATATATATATATATATATATATATATATATATATATATATATATAAATGGGATCATGTAAGAACACATCCCTTATGTGAGAACCCCAACTTATGTGAGAATAAATCTAGACCTTTGAATTTTTTTTAATCTAAAGACTGTGATTATTCCCTAAAAAATCAAAACCAAAAGAGTATTTTAAACCAACCCCCTTATTTCTCTCTTTTACCTCCACATTTTTCTTTCTCTCTCCTCTCACCTATTGTTCAGTATACATCATCAACTTCACGCCATTAATTTCAAAGAAATTAAGCTCAACTTCTAATCAACTATGGTGTCTTTGTATTGTGCTCATATCACCATCATCTTCGCGCCATTTAAAACACGGAAATTAAGCTCGAATTCAAGTCGATAATTGTGTCTTCGAGCTCCAATCAGCGACGATTATGTTTGCCATTAACATCATTGTGATTAACTTTGCAACATCAATAACAAAGAAATCAAACTTAAAATTCAGACCAATTATGTCATTTTCGAGCTCCACTCAATGACAATTATGGTCGCGCGTTCTTGTGAAATTGAAGATTTTGGCGATAAAAAATGAGCTTAATTGAGTTTGTATTATGTGATGATAGTATGGAGCAATTTTATGAGATTCTAATATAAGTTTATTCATTTTAATTTATTGTATGTGTTTTTGCTCATTTTGTTTGCTTATTTTAATTTTAGTTTGCTCATTTGTGAAGGATATGAGCAGAACAACATGTATTAAATTAACCTTGTGAACTATCTACTTCAAAAATATGCAGAAAATGAAGTGCATAATATAAACTAGTATACGGTTGGTCTCTTATGGTCCAACAATTGTTTACATTTTCAGATATAGTAAGTAAGTTCAAGGTTTCATATTAGTTTGAATGTTTTAGAATTGTTGCTCATTTGATAAATGAACAAAGAATAGTTGCTCATTTGAAAATTGAGCAAACAAAACAAAGAAATATTGTTTGCTCATTTAATAAATAAACAAAGAATTATTGCTCATATATCAAATGAGCAAATATTATTTGCTCATTTATCAAATGAACAAAAATTATTTGCTCATTTGATAAATAAACAAATAAATGTTGTTCATTTGATAAATAAGAAAAAAACAAAAAGAAAAAAAGAAAAAAAAAGAAAAATAACAAAAAAAACGGTAAAAAAAATTAAAATTTTTTTTTCTCATTTGATAAATGAATAAAGAATTGCTGCTCATTTGATAAATGAATAAATAATTGTTTTCTCATTTGATTAATGAACAAAAAATTATTGCTCAATATGAGCCAAACCAAAAAAAAATGTAAATTACATTTTTGCCATTACTATGTGATCAATCTCAATAGTTGGATCATGAGGTATCCAATGGTTGAGATTTGTTCTCATATATAATAGGGTTATCACATATAGACATATTCTCACTGTATATATATATATATATATATATATATATATATATATATATATATATATATATATATATATATATATATATATATATATAGAACCACCCTTTATGTGAGAACTCAAACCTTATGTGAGGACAAATCTCAGCCGCTAGATTAGATCAAATCCAATAGCTGAGATTTTCTCTCTCATCTTTAGAATTTCTCTCTTTTCCTCCAGGTTCTCTGATTTTCTCGCTATAATTTGTTATGATATGTAAAATTCAGTTTAATTTTGAATTTGATCAATTTTGAATTATGTTTTTGCGATTTAGATTTCGAAAACTAGGTTTTACGACCCGAAATATGATAAGGATTCTTGTGGTGTTGGTTTTGTTGCTAAACTTTCCGGCGACTGCAGCCGTAAAACGGTAAAAAATTGAAATTTACATTTGATTTTAGGGTTTTTGATTTTAAGGATTAATTTTTTGGAATAAATTCATCGATAATTGGTACATATGGTAAAAAAAAAAGGTTACGGATGCAGTTGAAATGGTGGTGAGGATGTCGCACAAAGGAGCTTGTGAGACTAATACTGGTGATGGTGCTGGTATTCTTGTCGGCCTTCCTCATGATTTCTTCATGGAAATGCTTTTTTTTTTTTTTTAAAAAAAAATTTAATTTTGAATTTTGTAATTATTAATAGTATTAAAAAAAAGTATTTGTCATAACTTATCTACAATTTCAGAAATTAAGAGTGTTTTTTTTTAAAGTTGTAATTTGGAGGATGTTGTTTCTGCTGATAAAATTATGAGTTATCAATGGCTTTCTATGATGGAATTTGAGTCTGAGATTTGGAATGATTTTGGCAGAATCATTCTCAATCAAAATGACCGACTTAATATGGTCAAATTATTATTGTTACCTATTTTTTTACAAAAATTTGTAGTATTTCATCACTTGATTATTTTTTTTAAATGAAATTTACAGGTGAACTGGGAAAGTGGAGAAAGGTACCACTACTATTGTCATGTTGATGGATACGGGAATTTTCGCTTCAAGGTTCATACTTATCCTTCTTGTTATTGTACAACCTTTTAGTTTCTCCATTATTACCTCATTTCACCTTCTTTTGCGATTTATACGTGTCTATATTTAAATATCAAATTTTATCAAAGTATAATTATCGACATTATTATCAAAAGAATTACAATTGATAATCTTGGTCTGTAGTTGTTGTAATTTTGGATTGTTGTGTTGTATGGATTATGCTAAATTAATGAATTATTAATGTAATTAAACGTAATTGAATCCTATGTAATTGGATAAGTAATGCATGTTTTGGTATGTTGAGTTGTTTATTGGTAAAAGCAGCAAGACTTATTTGTTTTGCCCTTGGGCGTAGTGTGAATGGTGTGGGCTATTTGTGGCCAGGGAGGATGGGTGTTATGTTGTGTCACTAGCTGTTGTTGAGTACGTTAGGCAGTTGGGTATGTGGTGTATTGAAGGCTAGCTGAGGTTAGCATCAAGTGGGTGGTAAAATGAGCAACCATTAGTTTGCTCATTTGTCATAAAAGCAAATAATTAGTTACTCATTTGTAAAATAAGCAAACATTTGTTTGATCATTTGGAAAATGAGCAATCGATGTTTTTCTCATTTAGCAAATGAGCAAATAGTTTGTTGCTAATTTAACAAATGAGCAAATGATTAGTTGCTCATTTGTCAAATGAGAAAACATTTCTTTAATCATTCATTAAATCAACAAACATTTCTTTGCTCATTTGTGAAATGAGCAACCATTAGTTTGCTCATTTGTCAAATAAGCAAATAATTAGTTACTCATTTGAAAAATAAGCAAACATTTCTTTGATCATTTGGGAAATGAGTAATCAATTTTTTGATCATTTGGGAAATGAGCAATCAATTTTTTATTCATTGAGAAAATGAGCAAATAGTTAATTGCTCATTTGTCAAATGAGCAAACATTTCTTTAAT